ATGAAACCGCGACATCTAATGCGTTAGATGCTAGCACTCAGATTTCTCGTCAAACTCCAGTGTGTGAGGAGTAGTACTAATATTACAGACCAAAGATTGGACTGAGGCTTTTCTACTACCCAGTTTTCTCAAAAAGAACTACTTCTGATGATGGTAGTGATAAACTGATTGAAAATCAATGTGCCTGACAGAGAAAAATGTATCGCCCAGGCATCCAGTGATCTATTTTTCGAAGCAACCTGGAAGTCGACAGAGGCAGTTCTCTGCGAACATTTACAGCCACTGTAGGAACACGGTTCGCAACAACCCCGGTTGGCTTTCTCGCCTTGCAACATCACCAAATACTGTAGTTCTGTGATGACCGGATATGTCGCTGAGGAAAAATAGTCCGAAAGTCAAATGAACAGTAGACGGTAGTGGTCGGGTGTTTTAGTGACGAATGAATCTGCTAGAAAGCTTTGCATGAAGTCAATCATTGTGAGATGGCGGCGAGAAGCGTCATTGCCAAAGTAACAGAATAACTTAATCACTTATCTGAGAGATAATTGGCAAAATATCTGCAGACAAATGCTAGAGCGCCGAAAATTCACGTCTCAAAATATCATTTTAAAATGATGCAGTCTGAAGATAAATATTAATGCATAAAAAATTAACAAAAGTCGAGAGTTCAGACAGCCAGCCGGGCTCGAAATCAACGGTTTGCTTTGTTGAACCCATATTTATGACCGATAAAATCATAACACTTCTGGGAAAATAATGTGCAAAAAAACTGGCTTAAAGCCCGCTGGAGATCAACTAGTACAGCTGCAATGAAGAACGACAAAGTCCTAATAAGCTGAACTACTAGACATATTGGAAGTGCTCAGATACACATGGATGACATGGTATGATCATCTGCAAGAAGGCAGCCGCGCCTTGTTAGCTTTTTAGCTGCTTTTCGATTTTCTTTTTTGAAACAATGCTGAAGCTGAGCATAAAGAAGACGAAGAACACATTCCAGCGGGAGGCGCAGTTCAAGATATGCAGACAGATATCTTGTTGTCCTAGAGAATGCAGATTATATTGTCTAAGTGAATGGCATGGCCAGCTAGTCCTGTAACCTGATGACTTCCGTTCGAAACACAGGTGCGAACGTTGGCCTCCACAAAAACCCTCGGAAGTCCAAAATTATGACGACACGAATAATTTAGTAGTGCAAGAGAGAGGAAATCACAGAGGAGGTCGATGATTTGAAATATATCAGGTAAATCACCTCCAATGATGGCAACATTCTATAAGAAATAAATAGCAGGAGTACTCTAGCCTCGAAGGCTTTTCAAAACCTGTCCAACATTTGGGCTGAGAAAAGAATATCTCTTTTCACAAAAATCTGAATAACAAGTCAGTGTTGTACGGCACAGATATAGTCATTCTAATGAAGGAACGAGAACGACCATTGAATGGTACGCAGCAGCGTTGCAGGCTAAAATGAGAGAACCACGTTAGAAATGACTCTGTTCTCTTCCGGGCACAGGGACCTCACTAGATATGGAGATTAAAACAGACTGACGATCTCATAAACAAACTGCATGAACATACACCATTTACAGCTTTACGAGAGTCAGCTTCACGTGTGGAAATCGAAACTCGGAAGAGGATGGTCGGAAAGCCATATGCAAGCCGGAGATACAAGACAGAGGACAGATGTTCTTTCTGAGAGGAATATTTCATTCCACAATGCAGCGATCGGTACGCCATAACAAAAGTGACAGTGATCACAAAAGTTCCGCTGCTTCTTTTACATGGCCACGCGTCAAGTGGAAGAAGAGACTAAACAGGATCTTTCTTCTCTTGAAACAGCAGACAAATCAAAATATAGCCGCAAAGGTTGTACGGATAAGGAATCTTAAGCTAATCATGAGTCTACAAAGTAGGTGAAGCGATGATTATGATAAAAAAGAATTAACATATTTAGGCCAAAGGTTTGTTAAAACCGACTCAGATTCAGGTGGAACAGTATCGGACTCAAAACCAAGAGGTGCAGGATCAAGTACCAGTCGCGTCACGTGTCTTTCTTTCTGTTGATAAATGGGTATATACTGTGTAAGACAGAAACAGGAGATTGCGCACTGTGCTTGTCACATAGCTGCTATCGACTCACTTTTCCTTTGAAATAAGGTACTTGTTGATGGCTTGGCAATCAGTGCTTCAGCATTAACTTCATGAAAAAAATGGTGTAACAAGTGACCTCATCATGAAAATGTAAAGACGACTGAAGTTTCAATAGTTTCCAACTTTCTCTTCCTTTAAACTAAATGTTCAGACGAACGTAGGGTACGTTAAAGTTTCCCGAGGTCCAACATCTGCCGTCAAAATCGCATCGAAACCTGGCTTATAAATTAAGTGTAGATTCAGTTCAAGTTCAGGACTGGCGTATCGACTGTTGCTCGTTGCAGTCAGTAGCTGTGGTCAATTTCTATAAGGGAAGACCAGTCTTTACCTTAGCTGCGCTTCAGCTGCTGTTCATTCTGTATCGGGAAAAACATTTGTCATCTTCACTGCCGCTGACACGAATTGAAATTTAAAATCAATAGCATTTCGTAAAAAGTACACAACAGCATAAATGCTACAGTTTGAAATAGAAGGAAAGAAGAGGAACTTTCTGTGACCAGTGGCAAACAAACGCCACCGTGTCAATCGAATTAATTAGCGCAATTCAGAAAGCATCATGAGTTTAATTAGAAGACCCAAACTTGGGACGACCGAATCGATCGCCTCCATAACTTACCATCTTCACTGCTGTTGATGCACAGCCCCGCCTACGCCCAAGCAGGTGTTTTTTGAATGTCCAGCAGATCGATTGGTTGGCTGGATTGTCGGTCGATGTGATTTCGAAATTGCTTTTTAGTGATATATCGCGGTGAGTTTCCTCCATGCGACGTACATACGGACAGAAGTGAGTGCTTGCCAGCCAGTCAGCCAGCCAAACAATCAGCCAGTCTACCAGTCTGCCATCCAGCCAGCAGTCTGCGGAAGAGGCAGAGCTTGAGAATGAGTTCGAAACTTAAACAGCTGAAGCTGCTGTGCTAGTGACGGTGACGACGACAGCAACAATCGGCAGCAAGTCGCAAAACGCCAGTTCGCCCGCAGGCATCAGCCATAGCAGCCACCAGCCGGCGCCTCTGACGTTCCCTCTGTTGCCGGAAAAAGCGAGAAATATTTCTTCAACCTGCCTGATGGATTCGGTGATGAACACCCGGCGGTCCTCAGCTTTGGTGGTCACCACGAATTCTTGTGCTCAGCCCGCCGCCTGCTGTGGCTGTCCTTCAACGCTCAGGGGTCGCTGTCTGCGCGATGACCACTGCGTGTGCAAAGCGGCTCACAGGTTCTGTCGAGACGATTGCGAGTCGGCCAAAGGTCACAAAGATTGCCTGAATGTCGAACTGTGCCGATGCCAATGCAAAGCGGATCCGGGGCACGCCTCCGCGGGTCGCCAGCAACTCTCTTCGAAGTCTTCTACCGCTGCTACTGCAATGTCTTGCTCGTCGCACGCCTGCCGGTGTTTCCAGAATGACCAGGCGTGCCATAGCGAGTGCCTGTGTGGACAGAGGTGCGCCAACGGCGAAATAACGAATGCCGGCGCTGGTCAACATCGCTCAACCATCGGTAACCATAGCAAACCAGTGGATTACGCACAGTTGCATTGCAAATGCCGCTCCGGCAAAAGACGGTGTTCAGATCGAGTCAAATGCCCCTGTCGTTTAGCATTCAAACTATGCACAAGCGCGTGCAAATGCAGGGAGTGGTGTAGCAACGCGAACCGCAGGGCTTGCATCACCGGTTCTTGCAAGTCGTTTTTTCTCGACCCTGAACGAGGCGCGTCCAAGACGATGGTTGCATGCCTACGCACCACAACCAACGGTACCTACTACCAGGAGTACAGAGCGACTGACAACGACAAGGACAAGGATAGCAGACATCCAGAGGAGATATTTCACAAAGACATGCTGCAGGCGCTACGGACTTACGTTCTGCCGCTGACACATATAATCGTCTACCTGCCAACCAGCCCCTGCTTTCACCAAGATTGCGAACCGCAGTGCGACGTGTTGGATAGGTGTTCGTCGAACAGAGCATGCGCCGAACAGCTGGCCATCGTCTACAGACAGGCGAAGCTATTGACCGAAAAGACCGACCTGAAGATGAGCGTCAAGTTTCTGGCTTCATACATCCGCCGAGGAGACTTGTACACAAAGCAGGGCATCACGATGATGATGAACGCCGGCATCGACGTCGAACCGTTGGGTATGCGCGACTGGATCGAGCTGGTACACAACGACAACGATAACTTGGCCGAGTCGACCATCAACGATTACTACTTTTCGTTGTGGAAGGGGCTGCGGCTGACCAGTTATATCAGACAGTCCGAGATCTATATCAACGAGTGCCGCGCGGCAAACGGCCTTAAAAACATCTACTGGTTCAGCTGTCTGCACAACCTGATCAGGGACTGTTTGACGACCAGTGCCAGGACCTATGCCGAATACGTGTGCCTGGATAACTGTCTGAAAACCAGCAAATGCGATCGACACCCGGTCATTAAACGCGGCTGTCAACGGACACAGTCGGACACGACCATCTACGACAATTCGACGACGATCGGCAGCGACATACCGTGCACACGCGAAAAGACCACAACCCCCACCACGGTAGCGTCCGTTGCTGATTCCGAGACTGCCACTGATCCAGAGGTGAAGATCAGCCCCGTCGGTCGCCATCGGAAACACAAATCACTGTCGAGGATCAGCAGCGTAATGAGGCGAAGGAACAAGAGAAAAGAGTACACGTCGCACGAAAGCTTCAGCGAAAGTTCCGTAGAGCTGAACAGTGCCGATACCACGCCGCACTTCGAAAATACCTTCGAGGAGTCGGTGGTCAGTCGGCTACTCGTCGACCTGTACAGTCGTAGTATCGACGATACGGAATTCGAGGACGTCAAAAAAGATATCCGACTAGCCGTAGAAGATATTCGCGACCGTCTTCAAAAGTTCTTGAACTACGTGAAAAGCACCATAGATTCAACTTCGAGCTCTTCTTCTTCCTGACCTTGACAAACGCTGACTTAGCGCTGAGCAGCATCCAGCACGAATCACGTATGACAATGTCATTCGTACCATAAACTGCATCGATGAACTAAGCTCAAACATGTGTGAGTCAAATACACACTTTTGCCTCCAAAATTAATGCCCGTTTCGTTTCGTTAACGTTAACTATTCGTCCTTCAATTGTTATTCAACTATATGAAACGATGGGTATTTGCATGAGGGCAGAGACCACATGAAAATGAAAGTTGCAAATAAAAATTAAGCGTATAATCAGACTGTTTAATTTGAATAAACAATCGATATGAGAACCACGCCAGTCTTTACACAATAGTGGATAAAATATTCCATTATTCATCAGTAACAATAATGGCTTGACATTATTACAATCGAGTGGTTATTACAAAATTTTTTGATGTTATTCATACTGGATTCAAATCGAATAATGGATATCTTCTTAACAGTTTATTCTTAAATTCCAGAAAGAAACTGATGTCTAAAGATTTACTTTCACGTGGTTATAACTTTGCCCTTAACATACTGTACATGCATCTGATACACAAAATCCGTATGAAAGATAGGCATTTTTTCCCATGCTCACCTAAGGTCATGAGTAGTTGGCCATGGTTGAAAAACTTTCATCCTGAAGTAGGTTTTCTGAAACAAATCACTGGGCTTAAGGGTCTTGACATGGTTCGGACTTCAAATATCCGAGACAACGTTGGTGCAAAACTGCTGCTTCTCCAGACTGAAAAGTCACGGCTGCGATGATTTGGACATGTCTTGAGAATGCTTCCATAAGGGAAGGCGAAACAACAACTATTACTATTATTATTATTGCTGCTACTCAACCGAAACGCCCTGGAAACGGCCAAGAATCCGGGGGCAATTGACTCGAAGGATTCCGTTTCCGACTCGGGTTATTTCGGATTACTGACCGATATGCAATTGAAAGTTCTGCGAAGGACGTCTGAAAGTACTACTCAACCCGTACTGCACCTAATAAACCGAAATCTTTAATACAACATGTTGTGATTATTACACGGGATAAGCCGTTATCAGACGGATCTAGGCGAAATTCAGCCACGGGGGTCGCTTGCATTAGAACGCATGGTCATATACCTCGCCCATTCTGGCATCATCAGACCGGAATGCCATGTTGTCTGTATTTTCTGCAAGTTAGCGATTTAATACCCGTTTCTCAGCGGTTGCGCCTGGCTGCGCAAAAGCAATATGAGATTAATTCTTTGCTCAAGAAACAGTTAGTCTCTCTAACGAATTCGAACCCGGTACTTGGAATTCAAAGCCAATCTCTTTGCCACTTAGGCACCACGACCAAAAATGGCAAGGCATTATTTTGGACAATAAAATCCTACGAAATGGATGGATGCATAGCAGGCACTAAATTGTTACGGAATCCTAGTCTGTTCAAACTCTTGCTTAGAGATCGAGAAGCAAGAGGGAGCAAGTGCAACAGAGGAAGCCCGGATGAGTGGAATTATGCCTAGTATAACATGGAAGATGCAATCAACCAAACATGTTGTTTGTATTCCTTCATGCATATACACCAAATCTCACGATGCTCAGAGATCAGTTTCGTACTTCAAAAGTAATGATAACCATGCGGACCTGAAAGCATTTGACATAGGATTTGTTATATATGCACAACATTTTGAACAAAACTGGATAATAAAATGCATGATCAACGTCATGTTCCGTTCGAGTGAATAAAACATCACTGTCCTAACTGGATAAAATCGTTTCGACGAATTTTCCAAACTCCGATCGTCTGTTCGGGACAAGCGAACGATACAATGCTACCTTTAGACAATATTATCAATGTCTAATATACCTGAAGATTGAGTATTTGGTTCGTTGTCAGTGGTCATAATGAAACCAACATAAAACAAGGTATAATTATACATAAGGCAAACAATTTCGTCAATCTGATGATTGTACAGTAGATCAACTAAGTAGACTTCTAACTCAATTCACCTCTCTATGTTGAAGAACGCTCATGAGACACTGGCCGATAGTTCGGCATGATTAATTAGCTAACTGACAAAATTGTATTTGCGTTTTGCATACTGATACGGCAGATTTTGCTGCTTTTTTTATCATGCCTAATGCATCTAATCATACTTTGTTACCTGATGTATTTTGTTTCATGTTACTACATTGATTACTTACCTTCATTTTTCTACTTATTTCTATTTTCTTCAACACATACATTTGGCCTTGTGATTAGCTTACGTGAATTAATGTGCTTGCACTGCTGAAAAAAAAGTTTCTCTACGATTCCGTTTAAGCAATAAACCTCTTCCTCTTCATTTTCGCAGACATTCGAGCAGGGATTTTCCGGATCCTTCATTTCATTTTGTTCTTGAGTCTTTCTTCAAGTTCCACTCAGAGGCTACAACATGCCCCAGATATTTCATCATGCCTTCTTTGCGGATTGAGGAAGACGGCAACTCGCAAACCTTCACAACGACCTTATGTACCAAGTATGGGTTCTTCTTATACACTGACCTACTGTATAAAAGAATAAAATAAGTATCGATCACTGAACTGCAATTTCGCTTGCCAGCTGATTCGGGATTCATGACAGAACTTCTAGTTTAAAAAAAACACTCTCCACCTTCATTTACCCTGGTAGCGATCCTTTCGTCTGGTCACTGTACCTCACCTGCAACGCAAGGGTGAAACCTTATCTGTGGAAATCAGGCAAAGCTGGAAAGAGTTACAAATTATAACTGTCTTATAACTTATGACAACTTTGCAACTTTAGTAAAACATTTTAACACCAGTTTTTGTCACGCTTCCAAAACTACTGAATCTCAAGGACAAAATTATTAACCGCAACGCGGGATCCAGATCAACATATGAACTTATTTACATAAATACAAACCATCAAAACCGATAACGCAGCTTTCCTGAGTGCATATAGTAGTCTAAATTAGTAACACAAGTAGTTAACCTACCGTTATAAATCAAGCTAATTAGACTGATAACATGGGAATATTATAACAGAGTGAATAGCTTAACGGCTTCAAAAACTCGTTTTGTACAGTATAGATAATAGATAAAACTGATTCTTCGTCCTTTCCTTCCCCTTCATCTACAGGTTCTCTCATTATTCTATTTATTTCATCCAACCATATCTCCGTCGCACTCCTTTCCGTCGCCATCTAGATCATAAGCTTGCCTTCTTCATCTTAATATCGTTAATCTTCATATTACATTCATTTTCTTATTCACTATGTTCTTGTTCATCAAAACCTTCTCTTTCGTCTGTCATCCTATTCTATTTCATTTTCTATAATTTGTGCACTTTATCTTCATCGCAATCACCATATCCCGCGAATTTCACAACTCACTGCACTGTCTCCCTTGGTCCCAATTGCTTCTGGCACATTTAAACAGCTCAGAATTGTGTAGCATCGTAGTTCCTAATCTATTAGGTGAGTCATTTTCACTACCAGTCGGGTTTCGGCAGTCGATGCTCTGATCATACTACCGCAAAACAACCATAATATCCGGGTTCGCACGCCGGAGCTTGTCAGTATTACGGTTATCAAAACAATCCGGCGATTATTAATCGATACAGAGTCGAACCAAGAACTGAGAAGTTCTGGATTTCAGATTTCAGCCCCCCCCCATCAAATTATTCGACTTTCCTCCTTCTGTGGTTGATAATTGAGTGCCATTCTGTGAAAAGAAAACATGAGACTAAGCACTGTGCGTGCCACATAGGTGCCGTCAACTCTGCCTTTAGAAACAGGAAAGAAACGCCGTTTAATGTTCGAATGACGGTTTCCCTTCATGTTCATGATTGGGCCAGTTTGGCGCCTTTCTTTTCATGAAGTTGATGTTGCGGTGCTGCTTTTCGTTCCTATGCCAACAGTCAGGAGTGCTTCACTTTTCTCTAAAGGCAGAGTCCACAGTCATGTGACAAGAGTAGTGCGCAGTTTTTTATTTCCTTATCACGGAGTGGTACTCATCAACATCGGAAGGAAGAAGGACGAGTGACAGCGACCGGGGCTAGCACTTGGGCCAATCGGTTGTGAATTTCATGCTCTATCGATTGAGCAACCCCGATTTGAAGCGATGTGTGGTAAATTCGTTATTCAAGAGAATGTGTGAATAAAACAAAGATTGTCTTCGAGCAGAATCGAATCTCGTACATTCACTGCTCGAAGCAGACGTCTTACACGAAAGGCATATTTAAAATAATAAGGCGTTCCTGGTTGATTACATGGAAATGGAAATTAGCGCCCCCACCAGTAAATTAATGAAAATAAGGGCGCCAGAATGGCCCGATCATCAAAGTGAAAAAAGCGACATTCCAGCGGTTATAAACTTTCCTTTTCTTTTTATCATCCAGTCACCGGATTTCACGGCGGACTGAACAACAGGCCTTGGCGTGCAAACCCACGCTTTTGGCTAATTTTGACTGATCTTTAAATGAACAATGCATCAATTAAAGAAGCGGTTCGCCGACGCATGTCTAGATAAATGTAACTCGACTGGAATTAAAGCAGCTGGACTGAAGAGAGCCACTCGAAACGTGTTTCACCCGCATACACAAAACTGCCACAAAATATTGTATTTCTTCGAGCACCATGTTCCGGTCGGTATCGCTCATTACATCGCATTCAACAAAGGCCCGAAGCCAGGATCGTGTAATTCTGTGAAGCCGGGAACACCCACTGCTTGTGAAGTTCGCTGAATGGATCATCGTTACGCCCATAAAGCAGGAAAACTTTTCAGCGTGGTTCAAGCTAGTTGTTGTTGTTGTTTTAATCATCTGAAGTATCAGGACGAAAGACCGACTGCCCAGAATAATAATATCTGATGCCGTTCTGGCTTTACAGAATGATTTAAGCGATGTCGGTTGCCATAGCAAAGATCATATTAAACGTCGCAGAAGGGTTTGCCTCTAGCAGCTGCTTCAGAGTGCGACTTTGGCTCCTGAAGCATCTACGGCAATTTTATGCTTCCCAGCGTTGAACGGCTGTGCACAGATCACCGTTCTGTCTCTGGATGGTTCTGTCCAACAATCTTGACAACCTTGAAATGAGTTAGCCTGAGTATACGCCAAACATTCATAATTAATCTACCTGGCATCCCGTCCGCGGTAATTTAATAAAGACACTCGGTTAAGGCTAATTTGCGCACTACCAATTTACAATCACCTCATACTTCCGTCGAAATAACCGAATTACTTTGCGCCTAAGCCTAATTTGCTTTATTCGCAAGGCTCACTTTCGGAGAACGCTCGTTAGCTGACGGAGTTTTGATTGATTGTCACGGTAAGATCAAACATGAGATGGAGATATCGACTGCACTTGTGGCCGATAAAATTGTGCGAAGAATGGAAACTTTGTAAAAACCATAGACTAACAGTCGACCTCGCCGGATGTCGGTCGCACTGTATGCATCAGTAGTTGTCAAGGTTTCTCTTCTCCTGAAGTCTCATGTGTAGCATGCATTTCACCAATTAACTAAATGAACACTGCCGACAATGGTCACGAATAGAAAACTTAGCCCTAAAATTTAAACTATTCATTTAAAACTGCAATTTTCGATACAGATGTCTTTGGAAGTGACATTGTACAAGATTTTCATATCTCCTTCAGTCCGATTTTTTGGCTTCCGGCACAGAAGTCATTATCGGGGATATTTCAAAAACAGAGATACAGTATAAAACTGACAGCAGGATAATAAACTGTTTGTGAAATATGCCTGCCAACGGTTCTTATGCTACTAATGGCTTCTAACGGAAACGTCGGATTAAGAGAGAAACGAGAATCTCGTATCACGTTCACAGTCGCATACTGAAAAAAGTGGAGAGTTTTAAATAACACTGGCATGTGCCGAAATGACATTCCGAAAGTGTAAATCATTTATTTACACTATTTTATTTTAATGTCTGCATCTTTCTTATGGATCTGCTGAGTAAACAGATTTTAGGCAAAGTCCATTCAACGTATTATCAAGATCTGCCTAGATGTCAGCTATTATTTCTGGCCCAGCGGCACGCTGCACCAGCAGAACTACAGAGCTCCACAAGTCAATGGTATATGGTCTTAGCAGTTAGCAATTAATAAAGAAAAGACACGTCTAGCCCTTCAAACCCTGCACCTTCGGCTTGTAGGACCGAATGAACTTCCACTGCGTCGTCGTTGACATCGTTCTTTAAGAACTGGATCTCTAATAACGTAAAAACTGGCTCTAAGACATTCATGGAAAGCGTAGATTGAAACGGTAGGGAAAATACATTACTTGAAACTGAAAAGCGAGTACTAAAAGGACGGACAAGTGTTAATCTACAAAGTTGCAGATCGAAAACCGCGTCTTTTGATTGGGATCTAAACAAAAAGCGACCGAGCAAAAAAATTTCGTTCGTTTGGTTGGACAGACGGTATCCAAGATAATTCCCGGAAGAGATTTCGATTAACCGATTGGA